GTTCTGCCCAGAGTCTCAGGTGGACAGAGGCAGGAGATCTCTGAAAAAGCAGTCTCTGGCTGAGCCTGGGCATCACTGCCAGTCTGCTTGGTCAGAGGGAGCTGCATTTCACTGATTCTGTACTGGGAGGTTTTGGCTGACAGGCCCTAGGGAAGGAGAAGGGCTGCATCCCCTGAGGCCCTCTAGGAAGATACCTGCAATGGCCCATCCCCGATGCAGAACAGAAAGACTCAATTGACTCCATTTCCTATCATGATGTACAAAACCCCATGTTTCTCAATTATCCAAAAGTTTCCACTGCACCATGTTTCTGGAAGACAATTTCCTTTGACATCAGAGGGTCACTTCCACCAGAGGCCCCAGGAGCATACACACAGAATGCACAGATCTGCTTGGAGCATCTATCAGATACCTCTGAATAATTGGCTCCTGTCAGCAAATTAGTGGACGCCCAGAGGACCATGCAAAGCGCCCCCCCCTCTTCAAAGCCACCTGGACCATTCACGCTCTCACCTCAGTTATGCTTATTGGCCATTTCTTTCCTACCTTCCTAATTACCCGCCTTCATGCTTCTCTTTCCTTTTCTTCCCTAGAAAAAGCAATTGAATTGCTTGGTGAACAACAGAAAAGGAGAATTTAAAAGTTCATTTGCATGCATAAACACATCTAGTGGGCCAGTCTATTCCAGATATGCAAGACAGAGCACCCTCTGTAGAGGTGAGTACGTAAGAGGGCTGGCGAGAATTAGAAATAAAGAGGATCAGGGGATGCTCGTGTCTCAGCCTGTCAGGATTAATTACCTCACTACCCTTCCCTCTGCCTCCTCTTCACCAGCCAGGCTCTCCCTTCGCACTCGCAGCTGCTGACTGGCACTTGGAAAAGGGGAGCAGTGAACTCTTTGACATGGCCCTGCCTTAGATGGATGAGGGATCAGAGCTCTGGATACAACTGTGATGCTTAATTAGAAATGAGATGAAAGACTTTTTTGGGGGAGGGTAAAGGCCATGAAAATCATCAAGAATCAGAGACAAGTAGAGATAAAGCAAGAGATGTGGGCCAAGAGAAGGGAGGTTATGCATTGAGAAGGGTATGGAGGTTCTCAGAAGTCAAAACCAGCGGGGCTAAATGTCCTCTGTGATCCTCCAGCTATGTCAGGGAGGATCAAAGAACACTTTGAGGCCTTCACAGAGAGGAATATCTTCTCCCAGGGATATTAAGCCTGTGTTATAAGTCTAGTGTAATGACAGGAACTGGATCATCCAGCCCTCTATCTACTATTCCACCCATCCACCCACTCATCTATCCATTAATCTGTCCATCTACCGCCATCCATGCACATAGATCCATCTCATCTACCAACTTGCATTTACTTACCTACTACTTAACACACTACTCATACACCCATCCATCTATCCATCTATCCATCAAAGCCACGTACCCAGCGTACCTCCCATCTCCCTCCCTCTCCCCTGCCTACTCTCCATCTACGCATCAGTTACCTATTCACCCAACCCACCCATCTATTCCCTCGTCTTCATCTTCAGCTCTTCAGAGCACTGAATAAGGGCTGCCAGAATATGGATTCAGCATCACGATATACCAGCTGTGTATGTATGTGCTCCCTCCTCTGTCTCTGTCTGTTTGTCTTTTTCTCTCTCTGTGTGGTGTGCATTGTGTATGTATGCAAAAATCACAGTGATAGTCTGCCTGCTTCCCGGGGCTGCTGAGGAAGCGATACTGGACAGTAGCTTTCATCCTGATGTGAGACAACATCTGCCTTGTGCATTTCACATCATCAGTGTGTCTTCTGGAAGGCTCTGGGTAGGCTCTGTTGGATCTCAGTTTGGAGGAGGGTTTGGTCAGGAGAGACAGCCAAGACAAAGGGCTACTACGAGGAGAGTGTGGGGAGGTGGCTAGGTGCTGTCTGGAACACTGCACAGGGAAGCTCAGAGCCCATGCCTTCCATGATCTACTCATCTTGCTCATGTGCATCTGAGACTGCCATCAGAATGTCGGTCGTGTCCTTCCATCTGGGGATGTGTGCTCAGGCTGGCTCTTAGGGCCCCATTCTGGAGTCTAGACTCAAGTCTAGGTCTTCATGGATGGTAAGTCCCAAGGAAGCAGCCACAGTGTTCGGATTTGGGTTTGTTATAATTGGTAGACGAGTATTTTACAGCTAATCTTTTTGAAGATGATTATTTCCTTACTCTGGAAGTGCTACGGAACAGGAGTAGGCAGACACAGTTGTTAACCTGGTGCTCCGCTGTCCACAGGCAGATGGGAGACAGCACAGTACCTTGGGATGCCCGAGCTTGGGGGACTGGTGAACGAGGGTGCCTAAATGTAGGTTTCTTTTCTAACTCAATTTCTGTAAATATCTTTGGGCACAGTGAAGATCTGAGCCCCAGGGACCTCAAGGACAGGCCAAGGGGACAGAGAGGGTAGTGCTGCAAATCTCTGAGATCCTTCTGAGTGGGTGTCTGTGGAGCCCGGAATAGCAACTTCTGTCTCAGCTGCAGCTCCATTTCCCTCCTGCTAAGAGTCACCTGGAGAAGTTAGTGATGTCCTGGTCTAGTAAATTAATTGTAAATTAGCTCTGCTTTTGTTCATCTGAACATTCCCGTCCCTTCCTCTTTCCCTATCAAGAACACTCTTGTGGTCTTACCGTCCTGATTTGGCGGTAGCCTTTGTGGGGTGCTTGAAGGATCTTAGGTTGGCTGGAGTCGCCTCCCCCATGCTCTGTGTCTGCTTTCTGGTGTTGGTTGCTGTGGGGTTCAACAACTTAGCAGCAGGGCCAGATGTGCCCTTGGCTGTGTCTCCGCATTCATGTATCTGGAGTCACAGTGTCTTCTTGCACACGGCTGATGGCTTGACGTTCTGCTTTGTGCTGTTCCTGCCACATGCCCACGTTTGAGTTCGGCATTGGAGACTCCTGTCCTTACACTCTGCTGCCCTAATTTTGCATTTCTTTCTTCCCTTGATTCACTGGAGGTGGCTTTTTCGTCTCTGAGTTTGGTGACTTTTAATTACGGCCTAATGTTCCCTTGAACAATGTGTAAAGTGCAGGCCTCCAGGTGAGCTTTGTGTGGCCTCCGCTAATTGCTTGGTGGCAGGACCAGCTCAGCCCTCTTTACGTACCTGGCCTTTCTGTAGGGGTGAAGAGTAAGACTATCCAGCGAGTTCGAGGTGCAGCTGACTGATTCAGGGGCTGCTGGTATGTGGAGTCGCAGTGAGTGGGGACCTGATGGAGAATCTTTCTATTCTGTTCTGTCCAGAGCCTTACCTGAGAAGTGGTCTTAGCCTGTGAACACTGCGATTCTCTGGCTCTCTCACTAACCGCTTGCTCTGTGCAGTGTCCTAGCTCAATGTGGACAGCTGTACTCTGAATTCTCCCACTGCCAGGGTCCCGCTCCTGCCTAAACACTGCAGCTGCAACCATATGGCTTCAGGGCAGAGGTGACACTGACTTCTGTTTCCTCCTGCTGGGCTGACTGTCCCCAGCCTGGCCTCCACGGGGGCACCTCTGTCATAACTCTCCTGTGAGCACTGCTGTGATACATGGACTTTTCCTATTTTATTCATATTTCACTGTCCTGAACCAGAAGGTCCATCTCACCCCCCAACCCCATGTGTAGCCATTTAACATTTTCTTCTATTTTTTTTTTTTTTTTTACACATGTATGTGAATGAAACTCCATCTGGAATCAAGGCGTGAGGTTCCACCCAGGTCAGCATGTCTAGGTGCTGGTATTCTGTTGTGTTGTATTTTTGCAGGTTCTTTGGACAGAGGATTTCATGTGCCATCAGGAGCATGGATGGTAAATGGCTCCTGTGGATCCTGGTCAAACCTGCGCTACCAGCCTGAGCTCTGGAGAAGATGCAGATGTGCCCCCTGGAGGCCATGGCTTGGGCTACCACGGAGACCTCATTTCAAGCCCACAGGCATGGGCATCCAAGCTGCATTCTCATTGTGAACCTGCCCGTGTAGCAAGGACCCTTTCTTCTCTGGGCTATTTTTAGATGTAATATGTTACCACACTCCACTTGTCTGCTAAATGAACTCATTTTTAATCAAAAATTGCTATCATTAATTATCAGCCGCGCAATCAATATTCATTTTAATTCAGTACATAAACCCCCTCTTGTGTTCTACAACCCCTCCCCATATGCATTCACTCACTTTACAAAGAAATATTTTCCACCAGCATCTCTTCATCATTAAGAGGTAGTCTGTCTTATTACCATCTGTTATTAATGCGCAGAATCCATTTAATTTCACCTATAAATGGCCGCAGCAGTGAGGTCATCAGTAGCGTGTGTGTGTGTGTGTGTGTGTGTGTGTGTGTGTGTGTGTGTGTGTGTGTATGTGTGTGTTCCTCTCTGAGAGGGGAAGGGGCTGGCAGGAGAGAGGGGCCTGGAAGATGTGCATATGTAGAATGCCCTTGGACCAGAGAAGGCTGGACCTGGTACCTCCCTCAGGATAGACACCACTGTCACCTGCACTTCCTGTCAACTTCACTTCCTGTTTTCTCTCCTCAGTCCTTACTCAGAAGCAGATGGAGGAGAGGAAGAGGAAAAGATACAGGTAGCTGATGTCCAGCCCTTTACTAGGGGGCAGCCAACAATGACCACTAGGGAGGCGAGGATAGGGCTTCCCAGATTGGGGGCACTCCATGCTGTTCACACTTGCTCATGCTAGGGCTCTTCACAGGTTATCCCTTTTCCCTGCTCATTCAAGACCACTCACTGCCTTGTCCATGGGGGAGCTGTGTGGGGACATCGCTCTGACTGCCTGTACTGCCTGGGTGACCATGTTGTTTGGGCTACTGAAAATGAGGAGACCATTTTACCTGGAGCAGAGCCGCAGAGTCAGGATGACGCAGGCCACAGCATTTCCCCATGTGTGTGCGTCATGATGCAGCTGGGGTCACTGAAAGCCCCCTGGCAGCTCATCAGTGTACATCACTGCTACACTCTTCTCTCCTGCATTCACGAGAAAGCACCGTTTCTGTAAAGTTAAAAATCACGTTCACAATGTCAGAAAGCAGGTAATCAGAGCATGTACTGTGCAAGTGCACAGGGGTCCCCTGTCCTCATTGGAACAGCACAACTTGGGGATGTGGGAGCTGCTGGCTGCCCCTTGCTGGCTCCTGGTGGAAGGTAATGTCAGAGCCAGCGTTTGGTCTTTAGCTAACACTCTGCAGGCAGGCTATAATTACATACAAACTGACTGCTTGTGTGGAAGGGTGCGCATGACTTCGGGGTCCCACAACAGGCATGTCCCCCAGGAGGAGTCGCATTTGCATTGCTGGGAAGGGACTAGAACACAAGAACTGCCGGGGAACTTGTCACAGTGCACATGGTCTCAGCATGGAAAGTGAGAGTGGGTAGGAAATGCGTATTCTTCGTGTTTTGAGTTGTGGTCTCTAACCTTAGGGGAGGATGTGGTAGAGTCTGAGCAAGAGTCAGAGCCTTTGCAATGAACCGTCTTTATAGAGAGTGGCCAGGGAGGGTTCATACAGGGCAGCAGAGACCCAGCCCAGTCAGGTAAGAGAGGGGTGTGTCCATCACCGGGAAAGCCCCTTCACATGGTTCTGCAGCTGTAGCCCTACACAGGCATCCCACTGCCTCTAGACACCTGCTCCTGAAGCACCTGATGGAACAACACCATTTGTGGCTTTGATCTGGAAGCCCTCGCATGCGGTGTGCACGGCAGGTGTTTACTCGCTATTGCAGAAACATCCTCTGAATTTTCTGGGCCTTTCTCGCTGGTGGTACCCATGCTGCCAGGATACTTTAGGGTTAGCTCTGGTGAATGTTGTTCTGTACCCCGGGGCAGGCAGTGCAAAGGTCAAGTGAGTACATGGAGCAAGAGCATATGTGGGGAAGGCATGTTTTTGATCCTCATAAGCCCAGGAAGCAGTTTTCAAAGAGGCTGACCCTACCGGAGAACATGGAAGAGTCCAGTGGCTGCTGGGTCACCATGGACGCAGCTTCTGTCTAGTCTGTGGCAGGGCTCTGTGGATAAGTGCTGAGATGTCTTAGGATACAATGATTTAACCTGCTTTACTCTGGAGGTGAACTAATCCAAGGATCATTTGTGTGTGTGTGTGTGTGTGTGTGTGTGTGTCTGTCTGTCTGTCTCTGTTTTTCTCTCTCTGTTTTGGGCAGAGAACATCATTTCGTGGGGGGCCCTTTCAGACTTCTCACTCTGGCTGTTCCTCTTTTAGTCCACTGGGGTTCCTTCCATCGGTGGAACATTGTGATTCTCCTCCTTCGTGAGGCTCACCTGCTTCCATTGCAGAAGGGCTGTGTCAAACGGCTTCCCCACTTCTGGGTGTCGGCTTTATTCAGAGTGCTTTGGGGGACAGTTTACAGATCCCTCCATGACTAAAGATCTTGCAGAATATCCTGCCTTGTTCTTCTCCACAGCTTTTGTCCTGTCTTTACCTTGGGATCTTGGTTTATCTGGAAAGTTTTGAGGGTGATTGGGAGGAGTAGTTAGAGCTCCCTCTCTCCTCAAATCGATCAAACTCAATTTAGTAGAGAGAGACCGCACATCTTTATTCACCTCGAGGTCACCTTTGTCATAAGTTAAGAAGTGTTTAGAACCTTCATTTTATTAATTGAAGCCTCCTCTCTATTCTTGCAGTAATACCAAGCTGCCTTAATGACCAGGCCCCTGTAATACGTTACCTTCAATTCCCAGCTAGCTAAGAGCTTTTAACAAGAATAGAGGCTGAACCTTATCGAGTGAGCATTGCATCTTCCGTGGAGATGGTGGGGTGGATTTTCTCCTTTGCTGTCAATGGGGCAGAGTGCATTAATTAATTCTTTTAAAGTTAAATTACCCTTGCATTGCTGGAATTAAACCTGTTTGATCATGATGCATCTTACAAACTGCAGAATTCAATTTACTAATATCTTGCTTAGGGTTTTAACTGGCACTCATGAGAAAAAATGGGACTGTGGCATTTCTGCTTTGGAAGTGGACTGGACACAGTCTCTGGAGCCCTTCTCTCTTTCCTGGGGAGGCTGTGGGACCTTCCTGCCATGGGTGTTTGAAGGAGTGAGGCTTTGCCCACAGAGCTATCTGCCTGGCAGAGTTGCATGGGACATTTTTGCCTTGGGTCAAGTTTACTGCCAGAAACTCAAGGCCTCAGATTCTCCATTTCTTCCTCTCTCAGCCTGGTGGGCTATACAAGGAATTATTTTTTTTCTATTTTGTTGGTTTCATCCAAATTGTCAAACTGACTGTTCACCACCTCTCTTCTCTCCAACTCTGCTGTGTGTTTTCTGGGCCATTGGTGGAGATGCCAGTTTTCACTCTGCTTTGGTGATCCACCCCTCTCCGCTTCGTTGTCTTAACTATGCATGTGAGCTGCTGGAAGAAGACTTCATACAGAGCTTACCCAGGCTTGCCTGATGCTCTCTAGTGGGTGGCTGTTTCTGTTCCTTTCCTTCTCATTGACTCCCGTCTGCATTCTTTGTCAGACTGTCTGTGGAGCTGGGTGATTGACCTGTCATTCATATTCTTTGGAAATAAGAATATTTTAGGGTTTGAATTCCTATCCATATACCAGGTCTTTACATGTTATATTTCATTGTCATCCATTTGAAGTATTCTCTAATATATTTTATAGTTTCTTTGACCTATGGGCTATTCGGTAGTGTTTTATTTAATTTCCAACTTACACATGTTCTCCATATCTTTAACTTACTGACTTCTAGGTTAAGTCTGCTCTAGATAAAATGACACTTAGAATAATTTTACTCCTGGATGTGCAGAGACATCTTTATGGTGTACGTGGTCTGTTTGGCAAATATTTAAAGTATCCGTTATGCCTTGGAAAAGGAGAAGATTCTGCTGGACATAGACCATGCACACCCTCAGAGGACCGTGTCATGGGAGACATTCAGTCTCAATTTATTTGGGTCTGCAGACTTTCATTTATTGGGGCCAGATGGTAACTTCACAGATGGAGATGCCAAGGGAACCCACCCGATGATTATAGTGTGAAAATAGCCATTGGAAATCTGTAAACAATGCATGCTGTTGTGTTCAAACAAAACTTTATTTAAAAAGCAAATGGAGGGCCAGTCTAATCTCTGGGTCTTAGTTTGCCCATCCTGAGGCTATTTTATCAATGAATTAATTCACTCCCAGTTGCTAGAGGCTTATTAAAGAGGTCCACTAGAGTCTGCTGGGTCACCAAGCCTCCTTTTTAATCCCGTAATTTTTTTTTGTTGATGATTTTGGCTGATTGTTATTAGAGCAGGCTCATGCATCTGGAAGTGAGTTATATATTCACGGAAGATAAACATTTCCATCATCACAAAATGCCCTTTATTTCTTGTTAGTGCTTCTTAGTCTCGCCTGACACTGAGAGAGACTAGCCTTTTCTAGATTAGTTGTTTATATGATAGAAGTTTTCTACCCTCATTCTTAAATCTCTCATTGTTATATCAAGGTCTGTACAAATTTTGCACAGCATACAGTTTATTTCAGGCTAAGGATGTTCAATTGAATGTATTATTTCTAAGATATGTAAGTTATGGGGCCAGTGATTTGGTTCAGCAGATAAAAGCATTTTCTGAGCATATTTGATGGCCTCAGTTAGATCCCTGGGATCTAGAGTGGAAGGAGCGAACCTATTCCCCTAAGCTGTCCTCTGACCTCTACATGAGGGCCATGGCATATGCACACTCACCCATATGCATTTTACACACACACACACACACACACACACACACACACACACACACACACACACACACACACACCAAAATGGAAAATTTAAAACATAGAAGTTATAATTATCAAAAACTGTTCCTTTCTTTTCGTTGTAACCCTCTGAACCAACAAGTATTCTTTGCACATCCTTTCTCAGGCTTAACTCTTGGTGTGTGGAATGGGAAGGTTTAATCGGCAGAGGACTGTCAGGCTGGAAAGATGAGTCTCAGAGGCGCTGCAGAGAGGCAGCGTCTCACCAGGGCTGGCAGAGTGCATGGTGCCACCAGCACAGGGGCTCACGTAGGAAATGCACACTCTAT